CAAAAACCTCCCCCATTGTCTTCCAAGGGGATCCTGTTCAGCGTGCTGTCAGGCAGCTTTTAGAAAGGTCCGTTTCAAGCAGAGGCACTCATCCCCAAATCCTCCTGCATCGGGCTGCTTGTGACCTGCCTGGAGGCCACCCAGCCCAGAACAGGAGCAGCCTGGACCCCGGCCTTTCTAATTTCCTTCCTAGCTACATTTCCACCTGCATTTCAGTCTGAACCTGCTCCACTTGCCCATCTTAAAACCAAACAGCAGAGGGCCCCCTCCCGTGCTCCACTTCTCTGCCGGTCACTGCTCTCTGCAGCCACGCTCTGTGGAGGGCTGTCTACATTGGTTCTCGTACCTTTCCACACCTCATTCATTCCTCAAATGGCTCCCTTGCCGTGGCACCAAATCTGGTCTTGCAGAGGTCAACGGTATCCTGTTTGCTGGCCTCCTCTCCTGTCACTCACCTTCCCTGGGAAAGCGGTGTCTTCCCTTAGCTTCCAGGACATTCCACATCTCGGGCTCTCCTCCTTCCTTGGTCTGGCCTCCTCCTGGCCAACTTCTCCTGGGCTTTGCTTGCCCCGGACACACCTGTGCTCCTGGGAGGCTGAGGTTCTCTGCCTGCCTCCCGTGACTGGAGAGACACTCTATTCTGCCTCCCGCTTGCAGTTCACATCAACCACCTGCTACAAGTTTGCCTCTTGGGACACTGCACAGACATAAATTCAACGGGCAAAACCTGCTCCCCATGCCTGGCCCTTAGTGAAGGTGCACCGCCACCACACAGCCAGAAATCTGGGCCTCATCCTCAGCTGCTGCTCCTTGTTGCACAGCCCCGCTGCCAGACACCAATCTTCCTAATTCCATCTCTGCTGCCCTCTTGGGGCTCCTCTCCAGGCCTGCCATGCACCTTGTTCAGGTTATCACCCCCTCTCACCTGGATCCCTCACACCGCTGGTCTCCACAATCATTACTGATCTGTAAAAATAACTGACGCTGGCCGGGCGCGGTGGCTCACGCCTATAATCCCAGCACTTTGGGAGGCCGAGGCGGGCAGGTCATGAGGTCAGGAGATCGAGATCATCCTGGCGAAAATGGTGAAACCCCGTCTCTACTAAAACACAAAAAAATTAGCCGGGCGTGGTGGCGGGCACCTGTAGTCCCAGCTTCTCGGGAGACTGAGGCAGGAGAATGGCATGAACCCGGGAGGCGGCGGAGCTTGCAGTGAGCGGAGATTGCACCACTGCATTCCAGCCTGGGCGACAGAGCGAGACTCTGTCTCAAAAAA